TCCCCTGAAGACGCCGATTTGGTTGGTGAAACGCGCATCGTAAAGAGAATTGCTTTTCCGGTGATTGTTAAAAGAACTTGTTGTGGATCTAGGTTTATTAATGGAATTTATTTTAAAAGACCTAAATATACTGAGGTTTTAAAGGGAGGAGATGCTGAGAAATCTGCCAGTCGCCTCAGAAGTGACACATAATGTGTATCAAATTTTTTTTATGGAATTAAAACTGTTAATTATCATTAACCTGTGTTAATTTTTGAAAAATTACGTGGATTCTGTTGTTTTTCCAATTTATTTCTTCTAATACATTTAGGTGGATATTTTTGGTATTCATCAACTGCTTTTGAGATTTTTTTCGTTATATGCAAAATAAAAATGCATTATTCCAGTTTTTACAAGGCGTGATGATATATAAATTTTCAAAAATTTTAGTTTTTTGATAATTCAATATTTTCAAAGAGTTGTCAGAAGATTTTACTACGCGATATTAGTAGTTTTTTTACAAAAGAACGGTATAATTCAGTCAACTGAAGAGAAACATAGTCGCCAAATTTCAAAATCTAAATCTTTTCATATGATTTCATAACAGAAACACTAATTTGGAAAGAGTTAATGCCGCAGTGTTTATTTTCAGATAGTTCTTCTCTGATCTCATAAACTCCGAAACAATAATATACGCAAATAACGTTTGTCGATAAAATTAGTTTTAAAATCGACGGATGTTGATGAATCGGAATACTTTTTTCTGTAACGTCAGGAATGCAAGATTTGAAGATTTTGCAATTCTAGAGGCGAAACCGTTAATCGCGATATATTTTTATCTTATGTCATTACTTCATATTTTGCTCACAAATGATTGTCTTATTGATGTCTATGATATGCCGTTTTGAATTATACACACCATAGGTACTCTACAAGTTTCATTCGATATGGAAAATTATCTCAGAACAATCATATCACAACATTCGATTGAATCTACAAAAATTAATATCTCACTTCAACTCGTACTACTTTCCTTTGAATGCCTCCCCACATGAATCCTTCAAAAATATTGTTGCATTTCTGCATTGTTTTTCCAGTTACGGTACAACAACTGGATTTGCCGGAAAGGAAAGAAAAATATCGTAAATTCATTATTAGACGCCAAAATCTGTCAAATTTGGCCAATGTTTTTTATAAGAAATATGCAAGTAAAGAAGATTTAAAAAAATGGGTCACAATTAATCAAATCTATTTTTGAATGTGAAAATGAAAAAATAATATTCAATAAATTAACATTTCAAAACTATCAATTGACAAAAATTAAATCATCTTCCATTTTGGCTAACCTCCCACCCACAGAGGGAGCAGCAGCATAACATTGTTACAGTACATATAATCAGCTTCAAGCTTGGTTGGGTAACGAACTGACAGCAACAGATTGAGGCTGGAAGCAACATCAACGTGGCATTATGCCAGAAAAGGAATTGATTCCGGAAGTACTGCTTGAAACTATTTGCTGCAGCTGTGAAACTGGATGTGGCAGTTTAAAATGTGATGGATGTAGCCATTACTACGTGGTAGGAAATCATAATGAAGAAAAGAGAATTGAAGTTTTCTATGTTTTTTACCACTTTTATTTGTAACTAACGTTACTGTAGTTTCGTTCTATAAGGACATTTCCAAACGTATACATTAAACTAACAATGGTTTATTACATTAGCATTCATATAGCACCCCTGTAGGTAATAATTCAGGTACTTGGCTTTCTCGATAGGATTGAAAACACCAAAACAGGGGGAAGTCTCAATATGGTGTGTCCATACTTTTCAGCAATACTCTCAAGGGCATAAACTTTTCAAATGTTTTTGTCTGTAAAACTTCAAGTAGTTGGTTTTTGGTATAGTAATCTCCAAAATACAAATTCTTATTCAAAAAACTTTGTATTTCATCTTTCCCCAAATTTTTATTCAGTACTTTTGTGAGTTGTCGCGAATGATAGGAAGAGTTGTCAAGAACTATAACACTATTCACATCCAAATTTGGAATCAATGTGTTTCCAAACCATTCCTCGAAAGTGTTGGCTTCCATGTTCTTATGAAAGTCAACATTGCAGTCCTCTAGTTTTTTTTCCACATAATTTGAAGGAATTCGGAACTCATCCTTTACTTCCTCTGCAATGCACAATGATTAGTAACGATCCTTTGTTTGCAAGCATGTTAGGCGTACATATTCTGCAACCATCAGTACACCCTTTCGTGACTGTGTCGTGAGTGTCATACCAAGTTCCTTCCAAATAGAAAATTTGTTGTTGTTCTTGACTTTATTCACTTATTTGATCTGAGTATTTGTTACGTATTTCCACTATTCTTATGCTTTCCATAACGTTTGACGTTTGTTCCTTATTTAAAATCTTAATCCTAGTTTCTTTATCCAATTCTGAAGAGTTTTGTCACATCAGCTCACCTTATGGCCGGAAGTATTCAAATAATTCCCTATGATTTCAGTTGTAGGAATCTCATTGCTTCTGTAACAGTCGTATATTGATTTTTTCAATGATTTTATTAGATGAATATCTAAAGATTTTGGTAATCCCGTATCACATCACGTCTTGCGTTCATAAGGTTTTTTTTTTGACTATTTTTACATATGGTTGAGAAAGGAATTTTGGTCAAATCTGATGTTGCTAGTAACAGTTTGTTCCCCTCGAAAACAAACTTGAGATGTAGATTCTCATATACATTGAAACATACTCTCTGTGTTTCAATTTTGAAATGCATTCGAAACTTATTCACCGAAATCTCTTTTTCACATTGTTCACTATCGCTATGGTAATTACTACACTGGAAAAAGTCTGCATTGTTATCACACTCGTTATTACCATTAGTACTTGTCCAAGGACGCCACATTTTAAACAGACAACACAAATTTTAAGTAATTATAATTGCACCAATATTGAATCTCAATACTCAAATCACGATCACTTCCTGAACTGAACATTGACACAACGGCGATAACCATTCTTGATTTCTATTCGTCACCGTAACAGACTTCAAATTTAATTTTATGACTCTTCAGCCAATCATAAAACTCGGTTAGTAAAAATTATCTAATAGTAACCGCCAATTCTTCAGTCCACGTGGACTAGTTTGCAGTTAGTTCATTTCTATGTTTTTTTAGGCTTTTGAGAGTGCTGCCAACTTTAAATGCACAGAATATCGTTTACCTCGACTATACAAACTGAGTTTTCTCATGGAATAATAATGAGAAATGCAATCAAATGGATGTCATCGATAAGTTCGACACATGTCTGTGGCAATCTGGGCGATTTCAAGAAATACACGGGTCATTCCTATTTTCAGTGGCATGAGGCGTGACCAACTTTTATTCTCAGTCCGCCATTTACTTCTCATAACAACCACTTTAGCGATACGACAAATTTCGAAAAATTGCCTTATATTCTCTTTATCTTCTGAAGAAGCCAACTTTGTTGATGAAACGCGCATTGAGAAGAGTGTTGCATTCCTGGTGATTGGAAAAAGTGCTTGTTTTGGATTCATTCTACGCCAGAGGTTCCAGTTGTACCTTTTATTCAGATTTCAGAGAGTGATATCATACCATATACTACCATAATATCATATAATACCATTTACAAATTTTGGAAGCGACTGCAATGTAATTTTCATTAAAAACTTTCGAAGATTGTTTGCAGCAAAAATATAAATTGATAACTAAGCTCGATTTAGTGTGAATTTCCCTCAATTCTTATTATTTTTCTCAAAATAATTGATACACTGAAATTCTTTCTCATATTTGCCGCTCATGTCAGTACTTTCATCCGTTGAGTTTTATAGACTCAGCCAAGCGCCAGCTGATTAAATATACAAACTGCGGCTTAGAACGCTGCATTTGAAGCATAATAATCGAAGAATGACGGCTAAGAAAAAGGGCCTCCTTCGAAGAACGTATAATTTACTGAGAAAAGCCATAATTAACATATCACACTGTTTATAAAATTCTCATGGCATATGTAACACTGGTCGAGGCGTCATAAATTTGTTCCTGATTTGAGGTGATTTTGAGATTATCTCGTATGTTATTTTATTGTTAGAGATTATTATACAGGCGTATAAAAAACAGAATGTTGCGATGAATTTCTTAGATATCGAAATACAGGTACTTAATTCTAGCGTTAATATGATCTATATCTGTTATATGAAATTCTGGGTCAGATTATCAACAGAAAAGTAGTAACTCTAGAAAAAAAGATTTCAATCTGAAAATTGTTCCCTAACACCTGTACTTACAGGGGTTTACCTCATAAGCGTGCAATTCCAGCTTTATCTGATTTTCATGGAAGCAATAGCCAAGAGAACCTAGAGAGAGAGAGATACGCAACATATGGAAGCCTATAATCAGGCGGAACACGACCAACTCCCGCCAAATGGTCAGCTCTCGCTAAAACTGATGAAGCGGAGAGAGGGAAGAGGAGATAGGTGAAATCATTCGAATGACCTATAAATAATCAGATCTATACTAAAACCAATAATGATTGAGAGTAGAAGTAAGCCCAGTTGACAGCAAATCGGGGGCGTGCTTATTAATTTTTGAGAGGGTTGAGAATGAAAGAAAAATTTTTAGTACAATTAGTTAAAATATCCATACACATTTTTTATTTATTTCATTAAAACTTTGCAATATCGTAATTTACCTAATCGTTGTAGTCATTAGGTGGGCCTTATGAAAACTTAACTTTGAAAGAAATTTCATGTCGCCTAAGGTATCTTGAAAATGATTTGTACCGTTATACAGATATATAAAAAAGTCACTTCATCTTGTAGACTTTTTTCAGCATTACTGATTGAATGAAAAATAAATAATGAATTAAATTTTTCATTATTTTGTTTCATTATTTTATAATTTTTTTAGTCTAACAAGAACTTCAATTTCGCCAATGAAACTTGATGTACAAATAGCTTATATTGGTTTGTATATGATCGCTGTACTTTTCAATAAATTTTCAGATACACAGGATGTTCAGAGATCAATTACAGAAAAAAATACCAAAGAATTTGGGAGAATGGTCGGCTTGGAGTTCGTGGACACCATGTTCAAGATCTTGTGGTGGAGGAATTACACAACAGACAAGAAATTGCGTGAATCGACCGGCAGACTCAAGGTTAGTTACTTTGAAAATATATTTTTTGGCTTTTTGGCTCTTTAAGTACTTCTTCTTAAAAATATAGAAAATTTTCTAAAAATAAATTGATGGGAGTTCAAAATAAACTCCTTGAAAAAATGTGTATATAATGCACAGAAGTTTCTTTCAGATATAAACCGAAAGAAGAAGTCGTATTCTTTAGCGAGAAATGCGTTCTGTCTTCAAAAATTTAAATAAATTCAGAGCAGGAGATGAAGACAAGGGCTTTTGACTCGAAATTCAGAAAATATACCTCAAGAGAATACATTTCTATGCAAGTGAAATTTAATATCAATGCTCTTTCATGTATTACATTGTGTGGCGTTCCTGTGAATAATTTCTATTTCAAATTCATTACGAGTATCTGAAGTACAAACTAAATAAAGAAATTGATTTTTCGAGTAATTCAAGTTCTAATGGTTCTAGCGTNTTTAGTATGAATTTCCCTCAATTCTTATTATTTTTCTCAAAATAATTGATACACAGAAATTCTTTCTCATATTTGCCGCTCATGTCAGTACTTTCATCCGTTGAGTTTTATAGACTCAGCCAAGCGCCAGCTGATTAAATATACAAACTGCGGCTTAGAACGCTGCATTTGAAGCATAATAATCGAAGAATGACGGCTTAGAAAAAGGGCCTCCTTCGAAGAACGTATAATTTACTGAGAAAAGCCATAATTAACATATCACACTGTTTATAAAATTCTCATGGCATATGTAACACTGGTCGAGGCGTCATAAATTTGTTCCTGATTTGAGGTAATTTTGAGATTATCTCGTATGTTATTTTATTGTTAGAGATTATTATACAGGCGTATAAAAAACAGAATGTTGCGATGAATTTCTTAGATATCGAAATACAGGTACTTAATTCTAGCGTTAATATGATCTATATCTTCATCATGTCGTAGCCAACCTGTTATATGAAATTCTGGGTCAGATTATCAACAGAAAAGTAGTAACTCTAGAAAAAAAGATTTCAATCTGAAAATAATTTTCTAACACCTGTACTTACAGGGTTTTACCTCATAAGCGTGCAATTCCAGCTTTATCTGATTTCCAACTTTATCTGATTCGAAAAAGCATTCATTGACATCATTCTCATATTCTAAATTTAAACTGATCAAACATTATCACAGTGGTTAATTAGAGAAAAATTCAAATGAATGATTACGAATAGGAATATAATTACAAAAAAGTGTTTATTTTCAACGAAAATAACGAAGGTAATAATGTTCTGTTCATCAGTGAAAAAATCTATATTCACATTCGATTTCCACTTACCTATAAGAAGATATTGATATTCAAGTGGGTGCGCAAAGCACCCATTTGAATCTTCCCAGTCAGCTATATATATTTAGTGCCCCTTGCTTGGAAGAATTGCCTAATATGCAGTCATCTATATTTATCCCATTTGCGACTTCAGTTGATTTTATCCATTACTGTATTCAGTAATCTCATATCTTTTTCGAAAATCATATTTCACAACATGTATTCTGGATAAATACAAATATAGCCACTTAAATAGCTCTTTAAAAGAATAACACCATATGTATCGTATATTCTATGTTTTCATTATTTGATTAACATATTCATTGAGTGTGTTCAGTAGTGTCGGGGTCTAGTCACTGTCATAATCATATCAAATTGAAGCTGTAAAATTTTGTAAAACCATTTATGCAGAGTTTCATTATTCAGTCACAATCATATTCTAATCTTCAATTCCACTGGTTCAGTTTGATTAGAACACTGACAATGATTGAAATTGTGAGAATGATACATAACTGGGTTCTGAGATGATTCAAGAATAATGACACCTAGATTTCAATTTCCGAGTTGTCAGTTGTATTGCTGTGAAACTATGTTGTGGTGCTCTCAGTTTTTTTTATCAGTCATCGTCTCATAAATCTCAGAAATAGATAGTTCTCTATTCTTTTGACACTAAAGCAGTGAACAATATCACACACTATCTGAAAAATGAAAGAAATTCCTTGTTTGTTTGAAGGAGGCTGACAATGTTTCATGGTGCATTTCATTGAGTCCAAGTATAACATCAGGACCTGCTTCAGATCTAGGAACGATAGTGTCTCACCAAAAGCTAGGCCACCAAACTCGGACTGCGATTCCAAGAATTGCATTTATCGGATACCTTGCGAATGCGAATAATTATACATCGGTGAAACTAAGAAGCCATTGAAAGTTAGCATTGCCGAGCATAAGAAACACACACAGCGAAGAAAAAATAGCAGAGCATGTTTGGACTCATCAACATAACATCAAGTGGTCTCAAGAAGGAACACTGGTATAGGTGAAAATTCAAAGAAACCGCATATATGTTGTCCAACAACGCATTTAGCCAAGCTAGCGTAGAAATACGCAACATATGGCTAAATGCGCCGTATGGAAGCAATAGCCAAGAGAACCCAGAGAGAGAGAGAGATACGCAACATATGGAAGCCTATAATCAGGAGCAACAGGACCAACTCCCGCCAAACGGTCAGCACTCGCTAAAACCGATGAAGCGGAGAGAGGAAAGAGGAGATAGGTGAAATCATTCGAATGACCTATAAATAATCAGATCTAGGAGGAATGAGTCCAGTTATCACCCGAAGACGATTGTGGATACTAACAATCGAAACGTTGTGAAGTAACTTGGCTTGGAATCTTTCAATTTTCATCTCATGTTAATAATTTTTAATTTTCATCTCGTGTTGATAGTTCAATTTTTTTATTTTTTTATTATAGCTTATTTTTCTAGGTCTCATAGAAAAAAAGCCCTCAAAATGCACTCACAAACATTGTTTTGCAAATGAATGGTGCTATTGATCAAGTGCCATAACCAATTACTCAGAACCCTAATATCTAGAAGGGCATCCATTACATCGAAGTATATTCAGGTTCTTAGAAGTATCATATGGAAAAATATCGAACAGAACAAGTTGTAATTTTATTGAATTTATTTGGTCAAAAATTGTACCCTGAATGTCTAAGATTTTTATTGTGCTTTTGACTCTAACTCAAGTCGATGCCAATGATGAGTTTCCAAAAAAAATGGACTCATGTAATTTTTTTTTTCACCTGATGTGGAGATTTGAATAGGAATACATTTGGAGCACAGAAAATCTTAAGCGATATAAGAAAGTTTGACTCCAAATTTTATTTGCATTTTATATTATTGGATATGCTGAATAATGATCGAAAAATTCAATGAAGGATCATATGTTGTCACTTTTCTAGTTAGGTAGTATAAAGCAACAAAAATTATATTCAATTCACAATGGTTATAATTAAGAAATTGATGATTTCACCTGAAAATTGAACCTCATAGTCCAGAGTTTCGTCCATAAGATAGAACATGCTAATACAGTTTCGTTTTCATTTCTCCACATCACGTAATGAAACAATTTCAAAGTTCTTCAAAAAAGTAAGGTTTCTTATAGAATTTTTTTAAAATAGTTACAACATATCGTAATTTTTTCCTGCAACATTACCTACTAACCCCCTAAATTACGCTACTTCACCTCAACTGAATAAACTCTTTATCCCTTCCTGTTCACGAGATGTCAGTGATGATAGTCGAATTTTAATTGCCCTGTATAATACTGAAAGTGTTGAGTATGAAAATAAGGTGTTTGAAGGTGTTCTTCGCACCGAGCGTTCCCACTGCAAGTTATAGATTTAACACTATAATTTTCGAATAAATATAACCTTCCATAAATCAATCGCCAATTGATAACACTAGACTTTTTCTATGTTAGGTCTGTATTTACTATTTTTTCAAATAATAGGGTCCGTTAAAGAAATATCGAACATCTTTGAATACTTTTACAGACATAAGTTTCATCGTTAAGATTTAGATCGATGTTTGTCTGAAGTAAGTTCTGTTCATAGATTGTAAAATGAGTTATTATTCGTGAATAAGCTCCTTAATAAGTTTTCTTTACTTTCCATGCGTATGGCACTAATTAGAATAACTGTTTGTGTAGAATCATTTTTCATGAGATTCTTTTGTATTTCATTAAATAGCTTATTACTAGCGATAGAATGCACACCATCTGAATTAATCACATAATTAGGCTCACTAATTTCGGTTATGTACGTCAATAACAATTAAAATTTTAAAATCATCCAAGTTCACAAGCATTAACTAGCTGACTGAGTTTTGGCAAGTCATTTCGATGATTAACGACTACTGAGACTGCAATGAAGTCAGAATCATTCAAATGAAAATAGTGGAACGAATTCATCGTATTATCACAAATTAGTTATGCCTCGTTGGAAGAAAATTTTAATGTTCAACCAATTATTTTTCTCGGAAGTGAATGGGATGACAAACTCAAAAGCGTGTGCTGAAAATGTTGTGTTGGTAGGCTAGTGATAAATATTTAGGTGGCAGTTTGGTCATTTCAAGAAGATTACAAGTTGATTGATTCGAATGGGGAACTGAAATATCTTATTACATAGAAACTGACGTCATATTCAACTATCTGCTATGATCAACATTTACCCCAGAGTGTCAGATTATGTCATTACGGTCCCAGAAATATTTGACCTCGTTCGTTTCAACTCTGCAGATTATTGATGATCTCTGCGATTGGCATGTGCTTATTTGAATTACTTGGCGATCTTGCTTCATAGAGAGATGAAACGTTGCATTTTTTTACTGTTTCGGAATATTTCCACATAGAAAACAAATATTTATGATATGAGAAAGTTCAGATATTTCATTCTTCGATGGAAGTATATTAAATTGATTAGATGAAACAGTTTTTCCTCTATACCTTGACAATGCATCATAAGCTCCATGACAATTGTTACTAACAACAAACTGAAAACCTGTATCACTGTATAAAAAACTGCACAAATATGAGACATGATTAATTTGATGTAGGAATGCGTTGTAGTAATGAGAAGAGAATAATTTTTGCCCGATACAACCATCACTATATTTCTTTTTGATGGTTTGGGTCCGATGTT